GGTAGTGCTGAATAAAAGCCACATCTTCTGGAGCAGCCAGTGCTCTTAACCACTGAGCCATCTCTCCAGCACCTGACAAGAGGTTCTTCCAAAAAAGTTCTGCTGTCAATCATTACTCTTTTGGGACTGTCAATTTCTATGGCAAAATATATTCCCAACTGATATTAAAAACATAATTTTATGAAAATAACAATTTTATACAAATTACGATGTAACTTGATAACCTTTTCATAGATGTTGCTGTGTTCCAGGCACTCTTCCAAATGTTCGTCATTGGGCAGTGAACTTTTACACGAGCCTCATGAAATAGGCACACTTATCACACTTCCTTTACATACAAGGCAACAAAGGTACACAGGGAATCAGTGATCTGTCCAAATTCTCATGACTAATGAGAGGTAGTGCCCAACCCTGCATCCGGGAAAGCTGGCATGATTCCTCTTTCTGACTTCGGTGGGGTTGACTGCCCCTAGAGCCATTCATAACTACATATGCTTCTCCCCCTCATCAGTAATAATTAAGCATTTCAAATTATTTCTGGATGAATGTGAGTGAAGGGGTCTCCTCCATTTTATCCCACCAACCCTTAGTACCCCAGTGTACTGCAGAATCTGCAGATTCCGTCTTCATGATCTCAAATCCCTTTTTCACTTAATATAAAGGACATTACCTCATAGTGGTATTGCTTCTCAGAGCTTTGGTCACTAAGAGTCCTAGCGAAGGCCATGGTAACATCAGCAATACCTGCATCAGCACATCTCTGCACCTCCACTGTGCACTGAGATTTGCTCTTCACTAGTCAAAGGTGAATGTCTCCTCATTAAATCCCTCTCACAGAACCAGGATGGAAGTTCCACAGGAATAGAGAAACCCAGTACTCTATCTGATGTCCAAGTATAACTCATATCACACAGAATTGTGTCTTCCTTTCCTTCCTCACAAGTATATATGTACATATGTACATATATGTACATATGAATGAATACATATATTAACTCCAGGACCAATTCTTCATACTATAATGCCATCTGAGTTTGAATGAAGCATTTACCTTCGTGTTATTTTCTGAGAACAAAAGTAAAGACTAGTCTACATGAATGAGGTGTTAGGGATCTAGTTAGCTGAACTCTCATTTTACAAAGAGAAAACTGAATTATTGAGAGGTTTGCTCCTTTGTGCAACAACCACAGAGTTGGGCCTGTTTTCTGGACTTTATGTGAGTATCTGTAACAGATGTGGTTCTTATTTAACTGCGGCACCCTTGACAGCACCAAGTAATGGATGCTTCCAGATAGATTTAGAAGTATTTCCTAATGACCACATACACTAAGGTCAGCTTTAGTGCAAAGAACTAAATGTGTTTTCAGTTCCTGAATCATGCACAATACCATGCCTTGGTAGAAAATGTTCAACTCTTTTTGGTGGCCATCTAGCTACAATGTGGAAGAAAAGTTCACGATAATTCTTTTAAAAGGCAACGTTTCCAAGTTTATGAAATATTAGACAATAGAATTATGACCCTTCACATCTTTTAGTGGACATTTCTGACTCTAAAGAAGAACTGAAAATCTCACTCAATAGTGATTTTAACAAACTGAGAAACAAATTATATTCTCAGTGCCTGATGGAACCATTTTGTATATCATGTACATGTTACGTCTTTAAATACTTTTTAAAATACTTTTGGTTTTAGCTAAATTTACCTAAAAATTTAACAAAATGCCAAAAATATCTCTCTTCCAACCAGACAGTATGTAGCATTTTGATCTTCAGGTTGGTGTTACAGACAGGTAATAGTAGAGCCCTGTCACTCTATTGTTTGGATGGCAGAGGCAGGAAGTTCACTGCAAGCCAGCCTGACACAGATATTGAGTCCAGGTCAACAAGAGCTTCACAGGAAGCTCCTGTCCCAAACAAAACACAAACATCAAAGAAAGTAAAAATAGTGGCAAAAAATAAGCTGTTTATGTACTATCTGTATAGTACACTATGAAAGGTTCTACATGTTTAATAGTTCTTGCCATGTTTCCATTTAGGACTAGGGAAATCCCATGATGGAAAGATCTCAGATATTAGTCCAACTGAATATGATGCAGAATAGTGGAGAATGAGAGAAAGAGCATTTGATATAAATCATCTTCATGCCAAAGGCTTGGCAGTGATTTACAGAATGAGTTGAAATAAAATTAGAAATTAAAGGATCAAAGAGACTAGGACTTAACTGAAGAAATCATAGTAGTTGTTCTCAGGCTTGAATTGGACAGATTACGAAACTGAATAATGAATTTTGCTCTAAGCTTACTGATATGTAAGTCAAAATAAAAATTGATTGAGCTCCACAGTTTTAAAATTCAGACAAGGGAAAATATTCAGATTAATTTAAACACTTATTTGGTTCACTAAAGTTACAAATATAACAGATGGGCACAAGTATACGCTGAATTGACGACGCAACAGCTTCAAGTACGGGTACATGCTTCAGAAGGCTGCCATATGTCCGGCACTATACCAAGCATTCCCTGCTTATGTCCTTAATCACTGGATGAGGAAGCAGCAGCTTTCAGACATGAAGATTGTCCCATGGCACCTGGTTTGCTTATGACCAAAGGCAAATAGACCTATCTCCAAAATTCACACTTTTAGACATAACTGAGGACCAGGGAGGCAGCTCTCTGGGTGAAGGTGCTTGCCCCTGGGGCTGGTAACCTGAGTTCCATACCTAAAAATCCCATGGCAGACATAGGGAACCGTCTTCAGATGTTGTCTTCTGACTTCTACACATGTTCCGTGACACAAATATAAGAAAATTATAAATTCTAAACTCTGTATTTTTTACCATACCCCTTCTTCTGCCTTTATTGCAAATACCTTTTGTTATACCCTGAAATTGGGACAAGCAACATGGAATACAACCCTGAACTATCACAGGTACAATGGACAGTGTGAACTGTGGCTACGACCTCAGTCATAAGTCAGAGACTAGAGTAATATGAGCAAGATGTTTTCTTGCCGTTTCTACAGTAAAACGGGGAAAACTTCAATGAAGGGCTAACTACAGCCAGGCTGCGGGGCTCAAAATTATCAACAACTTTGGCCAAGCTGCATTTACTCAGCTCATACACAACCAACAAAGTAAGTGTATTCAGTGACATCATTTGAAAGCGTCGTCGGGTTATAAAGAGACGCTCTGAACATAAGGAATGAAAATGAAGTGGAAGAGCTACTGGAAAAGGAAAGCTCCTTGTCAGCGGGTAAGGGCTGAAAACCTGGCCAGGTCCCTTCACACCCACAGGCAGAACCGTTGTTCCCTCTTTTTTCCTGAAAGTGGTATTTACCTCGAAGTTACTGAGGACTTAATTTAAGACTGGCCACTACTAAATACTCTTCTGCAGCTCTTAACGTGAGACTAACATTTTCTCTTAGAAGTTTATGAATGTCCAAAGCTGACTGTTTTTCGTTTTATTTTCTCCTGAAGAGTACTCCCTCCTCAAATACTTATGTGCTTCAGACATGACCAAAACTGAGTGTGGGGCCCAGTTGCTGCCCTTAAGACGGAATCACCTCAAACTCCAGCAATAGTGATTAATCAAGGCCACAAGTGTTGGGGTGGTCTTGTGCACCATGTATTCAGACTCTGATTTCTGTGCCCCGAAATCCGGTTGCAGTCTGGACATGGGCATTGTCATGATTGTTGAAGAATCTCCTGTATCAGCGTTGTGTAAACGTTGCTTCCCAATTATCTCTGATTGGTTAGTAAAGACGCTGATTAGCCAATAACTGGGCAGAGGAGACAGAAGGCGGGACTTCTGTTCCCAGAGATGGGGGTCTCAGGTAGGGACCAAAGGACCAGGAGGAGTTCACCTTGTGGACAGTTACAGCAGAAGGTCAAGCCAAGACTTTTCCGAGATGGCAAGTAAAAGCGTACGTGGCTGGGAGGTAGCCAGATTAGGACAATTGGGTTAGAGTAGATGAGTATCTGCCCAGTTATAGTGCTTTAAAGCATATAGAATAAATCTGAAAGGTCTCCGTGTCAACTATTTGGGAGCTAGAATAGCTAATCGAAAAGGCACAGCTAATACTTTGTTTCTAAATTAAAAATTAAATCTAAAACCAGGGCTTTTTGTTTGTTTTTCTTTAGAAGGCTGCCCTCCTAGGCCTTTTGTTATGAGCCTCTTCTTCCTCTGCTGACAGGTGGTTACAGTTTCAGTCAGACTCACAGCCATAGGAGAGAACTGAATATTAGCTTCTTCCAAAATCGCACAACGTAACCTTACCTGTCTGTGAAAATCAACTTTCACAAAAAAAAAGCTAAGAACTGTGTCAACATACTAAATGTTTGCCTGTGCTGAAATTACAAAATAAGAATGCTTTATGATTATTTTGAATGTGAAGACTTTCTAAAAGTCACTCAAACTGTATTTCTTTAACTACAAAAATAATTTTCCCAATTAAAAATAATTTTAAAGTAATTCAAAATATTCAGTTATAGAACATTGGGATGAGACAATAGTATTTCTTTGTCCACAGAAAAACAAATTACTAATAACCAACTTTTTATTAGAAAATAAGATATACTGTGAACATTTTAAAGAAATAGGGACTATGTCTTTGGAATCTGATTATGGTATGTCCTCTTTTAACTCTAAGCTCCACTAAGATGTAGCAAATTTATTAAATCTTGTGCCACCCATGTAAAAACACAGACATCAGAAACTTTTTCAAAGCTCCATCTACATATTAGTTCCTTTGTGCATATCATAGTGAAGACATACAAAAAATAGTTTCATATCAAAGCTCTTTTCCTTTCACACATTTCAACCCAATTAGAGATGAGACAGATGAGTGTTAACATGAGAGTTAATTTTAGAAAATATATGCAAAAAAGCCAAATGTTTTTAATTACTTTAATATTTTCCACATGTAGAATTTTATCTCATTAGACATTACAACAATGTCTAAAAAGAAGGAAAACAAGATCCATCAGCATGTTAGACATGAAATGATCTGCTGGACACAAATTGGTATTTAGGTTCCTGAACTGGCGGCCACTGCTAGGTGTTTGTACAGGGGTCTGTGAGGAGCTTCTTGAGCACAGGTTAGCCATATGGCTTTCTCTGATGGTAGCCTGAGGTCCTTGGTCTTTGCTGTCCAAGATATCTTCTCACTTTTACGGGAACCAAGGGGGGAAAATAAAAACAAAAGAGACATTTTCTTCTTTATTTGTAACAAGTTTTCTAAAGTTGAATAAATTAATTTGGAATGAAGAAGAGATTAAGCCCAAGTTATGTTTCCGTTAGAGCATTTCACTGGACACTAAACTGAGGGAGGCTGGCAAACTGGGGCACTTTGCCATCTGTGTGCCCACTCACCTTCTCCATGAATTCAGACACTGGGGAGGAAGAAAGACCTCCTTAGTGTTATTTTGTGATATCCTAAAAATAAAAAATATGCAATGCAGCGCTCTCTAGATACTAGAACTTTAAAAGAATCAATACACCATCATTTTTTTTCTCCTAAGGCAAACAAACTGAAAGCAGATACACAACATCCTCTATGCACATGGGATAAAGACATTAAGATGAGATCTCTATTTCAATCACCTTAGAACTCATTGCTTTAAAATGTTAGCAACAATTGTAAAAAAATTCATTTTTCCTCCAACAGCCAGTGTTACCAGCCTGAAAACAGAACCTGTTGTACTTTTGAATACTTTGAATAGTTAAAAGATCAATTTTGGGAGGTTTTTTAAAGTCCCAGAATTTCAATTGATTGTAATTTGAATTAGGTTATACAGAATTTACTCTTCATGTGATCAGACGGAAGGGAGTTGAATCAAATACCAAATTATAAACATGTAAACTGTAGGAACAGACTGAAAAAGTTCTATCAGATTTACCTTAGGAGCCATTGTCAATCATTAGCTTGCTCTTAAGAATAAGGATATATAATATATATACCTTATTATATATAATATGTACTATATATTTTGTAATGTACAATATATATATATATATATATATATATATATATATATATATATACCTTATTGGTAAACAAATTTCAGGTTGCCTCCTATCTTAGACCTCTGACATTAATAATTTTAGTTATCTTGCAATTTCATCTTACATCCTGCCTTCTGAATAGTGAGTCTCAACATATGAACTCTGACTGGCAGCCAGCAGCCAGAATCATCACTTGAGGACATGAAATTGTGTACCCCAGGACTTGCTTCATATCCCTGCATAGTCTAACGTAATCCAACACCCTGAATCGTGACGAGTTTTACATGACTCAAAGCACTAGAATGTCTGGAGAACCACTGTCCTGAAGCCATGGAATCAGGCAATGGCCCAGAGACTAATATATGGAATTTTATGAAAGAAGGAGGAGATAAAAAGTCCTGGAGGGGACAGGAGCTCCAAAAGGAGACCAACAGAGCAAAAAAACAAAACAAAAACTGAGCCCTGGGGCCCTGAAGAAAATGATATCCCAATAAGGACAATGCATGGAGAGGACCTAAAACACCTGCTCAGATGTAGTCCATAGACTCAGTCTCTAAGTAGGGTAAGTGGAGCAGGTACTTTCTCTGGCATAAACTCAGTGACAGACTCTCTGATCACCCCGACACACACAGGCCACCAGGAAAGACAATGCAGCCAGTCCTGATAAGACCTAATAGGCCAGTGTCAAAAAGAAGGGGAAGAGGACCTCCCCTATCAGTGGGCTAGGGAAGGAGCATGGGGGAGAAGAGGGAGGGAGGGTGGGATTGGGAGGAGACTAGAAAGAGGGCCAAGGCCTAGATATAAATTGGATAAATTGTAATAAATGATAATAATAAAAATAATAAATAAAAATTAGAAAGAAAAAACAACACCAAACACAAACAGAAAATATTCTAGTCTACCCATTCCTGTCCCCCTGACTTTATACCCTACTTCCCTGGATATGCAGCATGGCCTCAACCCTAATCCATTCTTAGGGAGGAGACAACTCTTCCACAGTTAGAGAAGCTACTTCCCAGGTTCAGGACTCTACACCAAGTCATGTTACAGCAGCCCCAGGCCTAGCTACTGCCCTGACAGTGCTTTCCATCTTTAGCTGTCATCTAACCTCTGCTGGATTGTTTTGTTTGCTTGTTTTTGTATCTGGATACTTTTCCTATACCTAGACCTTTCCTTATTGCAGAGCTACATCCAACATTGTGTTAAGCCTCAATGACCTAAGTTCTCTTTACCTATAGAGGCAGGCATTACTTACATCAGCTCAATAAAATACATCAATAAGTTTAAACATTGATGTTAATATATATATATGTTACTATATATGTGCATGTTATTATATATATTTTATATATAATATATACATATATATTATATATATGTACTGAGATGTAGAAGCTAACCCACCATATATATATATATGATGGGAGCTTTGTTATTGTTATTATCATTCCCAAGTACTGGGTAACATATATTCACTCCATCTTTATATTTGATCTACAAATAAGAGACAATTCTATAGCTGAACACTAGCAATTACGATAAAATAACAGTTTAACTTCGTATACCAACCTACAATAGATCATATACTTCTCTGGCATTTTCACCTTATATCCTATTTCTCACTTACTTTAAAAGCATTTAACATATTGCTGAACACTTTACAACATAAACAATAACTTTTTTGGCATTCAGATACATGATACATCATGATACATAGGCCTGTAGCTCCAGGTTTGACAGGATCCTACAAATGCAGCATGAGGATGGTCAGCCATTTTCACCTGTGAGAGGTCAGCAGCTCCAGTCTGTGAGCAGACAAGATGGGCAAGAGCCTGTGCTTTACCTGGGTCATTTCCCAAGTCCTCCCAGTGATTCCCTGAGAGTGAATGCACATGTGAGTGAACTAGGCCCTAGGAAGGGAGATGCTTTATCAAGTCACACAGTAAGCAAAACTCAGAATGATGGCATTCCCTGTGACCACAACACAGCTTCATTACCAGATGACACCCCAAGTTAACCAAATTCAGGAGGCGCGGTGTGGCAGCCTGGGAAATTTCAAACCTACTTTCATTTAGAGTGTGAAAAACAAAGCCAGCAACTCTCTCTTGCACTGATATGTATGTAGCAGAGTCCCAGACTCTACAAGCTAGCCTTTCCCAGATTTTTTGTAAGAATAACTGGATGACTTCCAGGAGATCCTCTGGAGACACTTATGTAAATTCTTTCCTACAATTTTACTTCATGTTTAAGTTCCCGTTGAAGAATGAAGAAAAGCACAACCTGAAACAAAGGAGGTACAATGGAGAAAGATAGAGGATGGGTTTGTGGAAGCGGTACCTGTCCTCGGGAGAATTAAGTGTCTGTGGAGCTTGGCATGAGACATACACGAGTGCATACTCCACTTCCAGGATTTCCCCTGTGAAGAGTCTTGGCTACATGACTAATGTGCTCATCAGTCTACATAGGAAAATAGAAGGGAGAGCATCTGCTTTGCAGGATTATTACAATAATGGAACTACCGTAGGGGAAGTTGATAACAGTACCTGTCATAGAATAGATGGTCATGAAAATAGTCACTGCCAGCTGTGTCCAGGTAGACAGTGTTCTTATGAGTCTCAAAGGCAAGTTCTTTCATCTTCCCAAGAAGTCGTCTATCACTGTACATGTCCGTGGCGATAATCTAGACTCTGGCGTGACTCAGATTCACCTCTGACATCAACAGCTATAGAATCCCAACCCTTCTGCTGCACATCCATGTCCTAAATGGGAGTTTGGAATAGAGACCTGAGACTCTCTGAAGCATTTTGTTCTTCGGCATGATGGCCTTTCAATCACACAATCCCATTCTCTTTCTCTCGACAGCCATCATTCTTCATCCACTTTCCCTCAGATTTTCTATTAAATAGCAGTCCCACCAAATTTAATCAGCCTCTTTTGCTACTCTAAAAGGAGTGTGTAATTTGGGGAAAATGGGTCACAGCAGTGTGTCTTGGTAACAATCCTGGATTTTCATCTTCATTCTTACCTGAGAAATCCTTTCACTCATAGGAACACTTTTATTTATCTGCAAACTGCACTGTATTGTGCTAGGATCTTCTCCTCCCTACCATGCTCAGACGGCAATCTTGCCTCCTAATCCCTGACAGTCCTATTTGTACAGCCTAGCTCAAGATGCAATGTATATCTTTAGCTAAGGCCAGGGTTCATATGACTGCAGCTAAAGGTCTTTATCTTCATTTCTTTTGGCCTTATTTCAGCCATTAAAGCTTCACATTCATATTGACACATTCTCCCTCTCAGCCTTTCAGCTGTTTCCTCCCTGAGTCAACATTTCACATCCATTTAAAACATTCGCTTGTCTCTGCGCCCTGAAAAATAAATAACTCTCCATTTTCAAAACTGGCAATTACTAATTAGGAAAATGTGTTATAAAATTGAAAGTGTTTTACATCAAGTAAAACCATATTTTTTGTTTGGTTTTGTTTTGTTTTGTTGTTTTCTTTGCTTGCTTTGGTCTAGAGTAGAAATAGCCTTGTACTTGAGGGATGCTATTGAAGCTCTCTCGTCTACTCCACCATCTTTACTGAAATCAGCTGTGAGATGCAGAGAGGGATTTAGCAGACAGGAAATGGGTTCACGCAGCTTCTCTACAGCTCTTCATTCAGACTCACAAGAGTACAGGTTTATGGCTGTTAATGTTGGGCACTGAAGTCAGGTTTGGCTCAACACAGTCATAGTTGTCATCTCACGCCACTAAAGATGGGAAATTTTCAGTTACAGCAAAGAAGTGGTCTCCCTGCTGTCCCTCCCTTTATGGTAGCAGCCAGGAGGGGTCTCAGAGCACTTTGCAAGCACTATCTGGCTATGGTAACTGTGAGGGTAACTAACAGAGCAGCATGGAAAGTTACTGTGTGAGGAAATGAAAGAGGGAAAGTAGCTTGAGAGTCCATTTAGGAATCTGTGAGGAGGAGAAGCAGTAATAAGTTAGAAGCTAAAATATGTCAGCTAGTAGATATCTGGCAAGTTCTTAGCGTTTTTTCACTCCACTCCAGTGTTAGAGCATACAGTTTCTCCTTCCGTGTATATACTTACCCAGAAATATCATGGAACATGTTTTTATAATAGTTCACTTTTCAAGGCATGCTAATGTAGCCTGAGGTTA